TTTAGATTTTCAGAGAAGAAAAATTTATTAAAAAAAAAATAAATTGTTATTCTTTTTATTTTTATAATATAAATAAATACTTAAGTATCATGTAAACACAATTTGTTATTGCGGTCATATGACTTTACTAGCATTAATTCATGTTATAGAGGGTGTGCAGATACTTTTGTCCACCCTCTGTATTATAATTTAATATATGTAATAAGATTTATTTTTTATATTTTTAAAATATTTAATAAAACTATGATTATAATAATTTTTTTCTTTAAATTATAGAAATTTGTTATTAAAAGATAAAAAATAAAATTCTATAAAAAAAATGTCAATAAATATAAAAAAAAAAAGTATTAATTTCTTAATAAAATATAAATTTTAATTAATAATATAAAATATAATTTAATATATATTTATCAACTTTATTAGAAATATTTTAACTTTAAAAATTTCTTTAAAAGTTTATATATTTATAGATTAATTAAATCATACTAATAATACAATCATAAAATTTCTTAATAAATAATAATAATTATTATAATTAAAATTATTCTTTATAATAAATTTTATAATTACTAAAAGTTAATTTTAATAAAATTGATAAAGATTAATAATAAAATTTTTTTAAAAATTTCAAATTTTTAGTTTATAAATTACTTTAAATTTTTTATCATATAATTAAAAAATAAAAATAACTATAAATATTTATTTATACTTTGACATTTAATTAATTTTGATGATATCAAAATTAATTATGTCAATTTAATATTTATTATAAATTATTAATAAAATAATTAGTCTGTCAAAATATAATTTAATTAGTAAATTGTTAATTTGCGTCAAAGTATATATTTATAAAATAAAAATTTTTATACTAAAAGATTTTAATAAAACTTATTAAAGTTTTATCTATTTATAACTATATTTACCTTTTTTAAACTTAATTTAAAATTAAATTTAAAATCTTTTAATAAACTTAAAACATTTTCTAATAAAATTAATAATATATATATATTAAATAGTATTTTTATATAATAATTATATTAAAAAAACTGAAGAATATATATATATAAAAAAGTTATATATCCAAAAAATAGAACTGTCTTTAACTTTATAATTTGCTTATCTAATGATAAATCAAAAGTTATAGAAAGTTATTTTTTAAATATTTTAATATCAGAAGATATAATGACATAAATAGTGAAATCACTGAAGTGAAATTCAAACATGTAGAATTATTATTCAGAAATAATTGTATTAAAGAATATATTTTTTCATTTCTTTTAAATAATATTCTAGATTTATTTCTATTAATACATATATTCTCTCATTTCTTTCAAATAACATTCTAGACTTATTTTTATTAATACGTAATTTTCTATTATACTATCTATTATATAACTAAAAATATACTAGTAAAAATACATATTCATTCAAAATAAAAAATTATATAAATTTATTATTATTATACTAATTAGGATTGTAAATTCAGAACTAGAAACTTTTCATTAAAACTTACCATTAGTAAAATTGTCTTAAATCAAGAACAAAATCTTTTAAGCTTTATAAAACTAGACTAATCTAGGATTTTAAATTCTAATGATTATTTCATATAAAGTGACTTATTATATATATTTACTTTAGATAAAAAATTCTTTCACACAGATATCTATGAAATAATTTAAACAACAATTGCCTGTATTCAAAAGAAAATAAAACATAGGAATCTGAATAGTGAACTTATGTTTAATATGGATCAAAGTTAGAACTTGTAAAGTATATAATTAATATAATAGAATATATGGATAAGGCAATAAAATTAATATCTTTAATTAATTATACTTTTACTAGTAATATAATTCTTTATGATAATGTTAATTTTTTTTTATATCCTTCAAATATTAGCTTATCAAAACTAAATTTTTTTAATCTTCTTTTAAAGTTTAAGGTTAAACCAGTATTTTAAATTAATTATGATTTTATAAATTCAATCATCTGATATATAAAAAATATATAGTGTAATAAAAATAAAATTCTTTTTGAATTTATTATAAAATAATTTGTATTCCTAGTTTAATATTCAGATACAATTTCCAAAACTATTCTTATTTTACATTTTTCACTAAGATGTAAAAAAATATTATCACTAATTTTATCTGAAAAAGTTTATTTAATCTAAAACTTGTTTACTTGATCTCTAATCTTAGTAAAATTCTTAAATGATTTAATAGTTCTATTCAAGTATGAAAGTTTATTATTATGAATAAAACAATAATGGCTAGTGAAAAATAGCATAAATTAATGATCATTTAAATCTCTTATTATAGAAAATTATGTTTTAATTGAACGTAAAGATCTTGAATCTTAAGATTGTAATCATTTCATTGGATTTATAATTTTAAGTAATCATAATGCTCTAATTTGAGTAAAAATAGGAAATGGACATATTGTTTGTTTAGATGTCTCTTCCTATTGCAAAAGCAATTTTACAATTAGAAGGAATTCTTGATCATTCTGATACATCTGGATCTTTTATGTCATATTTGCTAAATCTTAATCTTTTAGAATAGAAGCCACGTAAAATTCCTTCAACTAAAATGAAAAGTAGATACAATGCAAGATCAATTCTCTAATTCTATACATTTTATAATTGACCATATTGCATCTTTACCTGAAAATAGTATAATCAAGTCAATTTTTATATTTTTATATCAAAAATATCTTGAATGATATGAGGATAATAGTGAAAAGCCATTTTCTAATAATATTCTTGGTAAGAAATTCTTCAAACATTAATATTGAAAGCAAACAGACTCAAGCAGGTAGTGGAAAAACGAAAGTGTCAATATTTTATAAATCGCTCTAAAATCGTGATAAATACCTGAATCAGTGGGTGATATTGAATAATTTTCTGAAACACCTCAAGCTGACTTACTCGCAAATGAGGTACAAACATATCCATATTCAAAGTACAGGAAATCACTCCTACATAACAACTATACTTTAAGTAGAAAAGAATATATCCCTCCTATTGATAAGAAAGCAGATAAACGGGATCTACATTTAAATATTGCAAATTGGGCTTCATCCTTACGTTTATTACCTGATATCCAGATATCGCGTTGGGTGACACAACTGAAAATCAGTCATGTGAAGTTTTATTATAGTCGCGACAGTCGCGGTTGATCTAAATTATATATTCTGATTGATCTAACCGTTCTACTCGAAACTTTTTAATGAAGACTGGAGCTTACCGGGTTACCTGGAATACCGCAAGACTCGTGAAGATTTTCGATTAAATAAAGCAGATGAACATTTCTTTTATGCCAAAAATCTGAAGTATATAGCTGAAAAATACGAAAATAAGAAACACCGCGAAAAAGCAAAGAGGTATCTCAATGAATTTTATGTAAGTATAATAAACCAAATTATAGTGGGCTGAGGTGGGTGAGTTCAAGTACTAGAGCACATTCGCAAAGTCGTTTGTGCTGACAAATCCCGAATAACCAATAACTACGGGTGACTTGGGAATGGCTACGGGCTTTTCGGGTGTACTTGAATAGGGTACGGCCTATTGACATGTCGCGACAAATGATCACGGTTGTTTGTTGTCAAGCTACGGATGGCATGTTCTGCTCAATCAGTTTATTTCACACAAATAACAGTATATTTTTTATTAAATTATTAATTTCCGGCGCATATTCTAACCTATTTTTATTTACTTTATTTCGACGAGTCTAATCAAAAGCTTTCATCAGTAATTTCATTTTGATTATCGGTTTACCGGAATAATCACGAGGAAAGAATCGAACTTGAGAAGGTCAGTGAATTACTGTTTATAATTTTAATAAATATTTTTAAAACCGACTTAATATTATAAGCAGTTAAGAATACAATACGCGCCGTAAATGAAGAATCAGAAGAAGTTCGTTCCGTTTCATCTTCCGAAACTGGGTTATTATTAAAACGTAAGAGACAATATGACGTGAATTATTTTGATAAAGGAGCTGACAAACGAAACCGTTGCAAAGCTCCGGAAAATAAGGTATTTGTAGTTTCCCTATGACCTGTAATAAAAATGTCTTTTCACATTTCGGAGGCGTTTGTAGATACGAACCACTAATGGAACGGTAGTGGAAGAGTCCTCTTCTAATTTCCTTATGAACATCTCCAAGACTTCTTTAACGCAAATATCTCATGAGTAGTAAACGAAGATACCGGTAGCGAAATAAATTTTATTGATGATGAATTTTCTCCTAATTCCCTTACGAACGTCTCCTCCGAGACTTCTTTGATGCAATTATCTTATACTGAATTGATATCGAACGAAGTAGTAAACGAAGAAACCGATAGCGAAATAAAGTCTATTGATGATGAAATCTTTCCTAATTCACGTACGAACTTCTCCTCTGAGACTTTTCTTTCGCAACAATCTTATACAAACACTACTGAAGTGGATTCATCTTTGGCATTTGCAAAAGAGGTAGGGACAAAAGCAGACAAACATCGAAATATATCAACCGTGACATAGCATCAGAAGCTCTGAAAGCATATCAGATGGACATCCTAGCGGGTAAAAATTAATATATGAGGGAATGGATGTGTTAGATTCGGCTCGCTCAAATATGAATATGAATCTAAAATAGCAAAAAGCCCTATCTGCATTGGTGTTATTAACATCCATAATCCAGACTGCGCCAAGTTTTTACCTGAAAATTTTAAACGCTTTATCGCAAATCAGCTCCAAAACCGTGAAGCTAAAGAAATTCAATTTGGAAATGCACGAAAAATTGCTAATTTTGCGGTTGATTGTGAAGAGGAAGTGTTGCATTTCTTGAACATGTAGACAGTTTGAAGTCCCTTGGAGAATGTATTGATGAAAATCCGATTAACCATTCCACTGCAACAAACGACCTCATTTACGTACAAAATCTTTTCAACCATTTCTTTTTCTTATACAAAAACGATATTTCGCTACAGTTTATATCTGAAAGCGAGTTTAATACATATGTGTGGACCCCGCTACTTAAGAATGCATTCCTAGGAAAGGATGATCTGAAACTAAGTTGTGGAGAATTGACGTCAAATACGTATGAAAAATTAACGGAGATCTTAGATATTAGTGGTCGCAGTGCACCAAGGTTAAACGGTAAAGGACTCCTAAAAGCATTGGGCACAGAAATTCTTGTTCAGGAAGATGGTGTCCTTAATACTCGTAGTAAGAGGAAAGGCGATCTCAAAAAATTGGGAGTACTGTTCAAAGGTGATCCTTACGAAATTGTTTTTTGCGTTACCTTCCGAAGCATAAGATTATATCACAGATCTATAGTATTCAATCAAACGGATTTCGCCTCTCGATCTCCGTATCAAAGTATTTATTTGAAAATACCATCATCATGATGGACTTGCAAGATATAGAAGTTCCGAGAACTGTGGAAGGATTTTCCAAATTAATAATGGCCGTGAAAGTAGTTCTTTCCTGGAAAGCTCGTACTAGAAAGACACTCTAGAATTCTACAAGACACTAAGAAAAGGTCACAAACGTCTGGAGAATGGGATCAATTTTTCTAAAAAAAATGATTATATAGATTATACAGGTTGATTAAAATTAAACATAAAATCAATGTTATAATAAAAATAATAATAATAAAGTTTTCAATGATTGCATTAATTTTTTACATAGCATGTTATATATACAGTATATAAAATTGTTTTTTCCGAAATGTGATAACGAATTCAGACTGTAGTACCTGCCGAAGAAACTTATCGTAGAACGAGACAGAAAATTTCATCACGTGAGCTGATCACCTGATATGTGAAGCACCTGATTCAAAGAATCCCTCTGACCCGGGGGATAGATATCAAAATATTTGTCACATCGTATCACACCCTCAAGTTCCGTTTTTACTATTTATTCAAGGACAGGTTTTTTGGTTAGAATTAGGGTTATTTGGGTTAGTTGGGTTAGTTAGGGTTTGTTAGGGTCAGGTGTTAGCATAATATTAGGGGAGGATACTAGTATATCCCCCGGTATGAAATAATAATTTTGCATATTAAATATGAATTGTGTCTAATTTATTAACGTTAAGATATAAATGATATGAAATATAAAGATTAAATAGATTGCACAAGAGGCGACCAAAATTTAATGGGAGATATTAGTATATATTGAATATATATATTGATACAGAAGAGAAAGAATTTACCATATGATATATCAGAATTATTGAGATTGTATAAGTTACGTAAACTTGAAGGTTTAAGACCAAGAAGAGAAAGTCGATAAGTTCATAAACGTTTAATTAATTTACCAACTTATCCTATGATTTTGAGTGTTTCCGCTAGTTTATTTCCATTTTCTAATCATAATAAAATAACATAATGTTTGATAAACCTGAGAGAATTACTTGCTGGGAAAATTTTATGATTATAAACCAAAGTAAATTGTAATGGGATTACTTATCGACGTTATCTTGACCAAAAGAAGAATCCTTATCTACCCTTGACTAAAGAGTTTGTGGATGATAGGAAAATTTTCAACTGAATTTATATCAAGATGTTCTTCCTACATTAAGATCTATGAAAAATGGAACCTTGTTAATTGGAAGTTGGAGTAGATCCAAGAATGTATGATTTTCTCATGGACCGCTTTAATTTTGAAGGTATTTTATAATTTTGATTTTATGATAAACAAAATTCACCAATATAATTATTCGGTTTATTGGAGTGACCTAATATCATTTTCAAAAACTCTAATAAAGTATTGATCTTGACCATTTAAGGAACGTTAAATAAATTATCTATTTCTCGATGTTAAAATGATACGGTAGCGCGGCTAGATATGATACCGCTAGAAATATTGGTTTAATTCAATCAATTTTATAAATAACACGGCTGCACAAAACAATAAAACAACCAACCGATTAAAAATATAGCACTAGTACCAAAGTTGCAAAACGAGAACGTCAATACTAATCGCAGCCCAAAAAAATGAGCTCTCCCTACTAAGCAAAGTCCCAGTCTATCTAAACCCATATGGTTCCAACGATGCATGAAGAGAGTGTCTTTGGGTTTCTATCTAATTTTTTATTTTTATTTTATATTTTATATTTTATTCCCCTTCCATGTTCCAAGTTTTCTTTTTGACGGTTTGTCTCTCTGGACAGTTATCCCTTATGAAGTTTGGTAACAGTTTCTTTTTGGTCCAAGTTCTGAAAAGGAGCGTAAACAGGACCTAATTCAGAACCAGTAGTCCTTTTGCAGCTGTTTTCCAAAAAAATTCTGGTTTATATACTGTATATATGGGGTGAAAGAGGGACAATAAAACAGCATGTGTTTGCGAAAGACTGTATTCGAAGGTGAAATGTTTTTTTGAAGGGACATATACTGAAATATATCCTATTACATACTAATTTAGCAGTATTATCATGAAAAATTAAAAAAAGCCCGTTCATTTAAATTTAGTATATATACAGAACATTTTTAGAAATATAAAATATCTTTTAAGAAAAATAATTATTTATTATGAGTATGCTTGTCTATTTGTAAGTTAACATCTAAGGGATTTGAACACATCGCCACTTTTGCACCGAATTAGGCCGACTTTCTACTTTTTAGGAATTCTTAAAAATTCATTTGGGCTACCTTTTAAAGTTTCACGTGGAATGACATTATTTGTCCCAAGTTGTTTTAATTTCTTGGCCATATTTGCTGGGGAGGTGTTTCCATTATTAGCAATAATCAAGGCCACAGTTCCAGCAACATGAGGTGAGGACATACTTGTACCAGAGAGAACTTTCGTAGAATTATTGGTTTCAAAACCAGCGGATTTAATGTTAAGACCTGGTGCAAATATGTCAACACAAGTACCAAAGTTTGAAAAAGAGGTGACCTTATCAGTTATATCTTCGGTGGCACCAACGGTGATGGCTGTTTTTTCGGAGGCAGGAGAAAATTCACAAGCATCTGCTGCGCTGTTACCGGCTGCTACAACAACGTGGATGCCTGCTTTGGTAAGTGTTTTTACCATTTTATTGAGTACGTCGGATCTTCCACCTCCAAGTGACACGCTATATAAGTGAAAACGTATGTTATGAAAAAATAAATAGGCATCAAAATTATGTGCATGCGATCGAAAAGAGTACATACTTGACGACTGTTTTCTTATTTTTGCTTTTTCGATGTTGTTCAAGAACAAATGACAATCCACAAATAACCTCTGAATAGCTTCCTGAGCCAAAAGCGTTTAAAACTTTGACGGCAATAAGATTTGATTTCTTTGAAACTCCAAAGTTTTTACCAGCAACAGTTCCGGCTACATGAGTTCCATGCCCATTGTCATCGACCGTTAAACAACCAAAACAACAAGCTTTTCCAAAGGTAGCGCGCCCTTCAAATTCTTTGTGGGTGATCCTGATACCACTAATAGTATAATTATAAAATTAATACTTATCATTGCAATAACAATTAATTAAAATTTTCATATTAACAATTAATGATGCTTACGTGTCAACGACATATACATTAACACCTTTTCCGGCAGAGTTTGGGAATTCATATTTTCTATCCAAAGGAAATCTTTCCTGATCTATCCGATCCAAATTAAAAATTGGTTTCCGCTGAACAGAGCGTGGTACAACAGAACTAATCTTTACTTCGGCATCCTCCTCAGCAACTTGAATTTCCGACCGTTTTGATAAAACACTCTTCACAAATTCAGGATGAAAATTAGCGGAATAACCTTGGAATGCATCTTCCACTGAAAAATCTAGAACATCGGTATTGTTATTATTTGATTTCGAAAAATCTACGGAGGTAGTTTGTTTTACGTTTCTGTCGAAACATTCTGATAACCATTTGAAGTGAGATTTTGCGACCTTTCCCTCTTTAAGTATAATGTTGAACCTCTTTTGTGGACCTACGAATTTGCCTTTGGGACAATTTTCAGCAGAATCAACTGAGGTTAAAAGGGTAGCGGCTAATAAGGTGATCACGATGAATTTAGAAAAACCCATTTTGAGTAACGCTTGAATTGATAAAAAGAATGAATTTTTTTTTTCGTGTAATGAATGGTTGGGGGTAGTGTGGGAAAAGAATAGGGAATGAATGGAACTTGGGCTATCTGAAGGCTCTTATATACTTAATTCGAAGCAATAATATGTATATAAGTTCGAAGAACTAAAAGTCTAATTAAATTCATCTTTGATATGTACAATGTACGAAAGGAATTCACATGCGATATAAATAAAAAGCCGCTGTTTTTTATTGGTGAATTTCAGGACAAAAATTTTAATTGTTTATTTTTTCATGCGGATCATAAAAAAACTGATTTCTTACAACATAATAATCATCAAAAATAGGTAATTTCAAATAAATTCCACTTAATTGTTTTTTTGTTGTATCTCCAAGACTTTTTCTTTTCTTCTCTTCAATTTATTTCGTATTTCTTAAATTTTCTTTTTTAGTAATTTATCTATTTTTAGTTTCTTTTATTTGTATCATCGATTTTTATTTTTGGATTACCAGTCAAATTCACATCAATGTTAATTAAGGATTTAAATATTTATAAGGATTACTTATTATTATTGGTTGAATATTTCTAAGATTTTATGTTGCCTTTTCGATGAAATTAACAAGTTGATGTGATTCATAATTTTACAACAGCTTGTAAGGCAAATCATACATGAAATTGATCAGAATGTTATTAAACAGTAAAAACAATGATCTGTCAAAACATACAGTCAAAGCTTCGATATAACGATGTGTCCGGATTTATATGAAAATCTTGAAAAAAATATCTTTCATATATGGTGGGGTACAGGGGTCTAAAATAGGATTCTGCTTTGCAGTTTATTTTGATACCAAATTCGTAATGCATTATCTAAATATTAAATTTACATTATGCAAAGATTTCTCTTTTTTCATCTTTTTTCAT